TTTTAATTTCTCATTTATGCCTCCAAATCTAGATTTGTTCCATTCCTTTAGAGCCAATTTGCATTTTTTCAGCTTGAGGGGGAAGTTTGAGTTCATTTGTTCCAAACCCCAAACATCATTTATTAGTTGGTTACTTTCCTCTTCTTCCGACCACATTGGTAAAAAATAAAACTATTTCGGGCCAGTTAGTATAGTGCGATTTGTCTCTAGAACAAGGACAAGATGGAATGAAAATATGGTGGGGTAGGAGAAGATTCTTGCATATGGAAAAGTCTCATGCCACCATGGTGACGCTAAACCTCTATCCAACTTCTCTTTAACCAACATGTTCTTGATTTTGTGGTTTGACCATGTATATTGAGCTCCCACTATCTTTATTTCTTGGAGGCCATGGTTCTCTATTAGTTTTATTAGAGCTTTGGAAGGTTTTCTAACATTCCATCCATGACCTCAGAAATTTGACTCATCAATTATGTCATTTAGATCCCCTATCAGTAGCCATTTGTCACATCATTCCATTACTGAGTTGAGATTTTCCCAGAAAATAGGACGGTGATRTCTGATTGGGTTGCCATAGATGAGGCATAACCCCCATGCCGAATCTAGAGATTTGGAGATTGTGTTCTTAACCCGAGCTAGTATCATTCTCTTTGATTAGCTAATGATCTTTATAAGGAGCCTGGATTTCCAACAACACATTAATCCCCCCCGCCTTCCCATGGGATGGTATGATTACTCTTTGGTTGTACCCTAGTCTTCGTGTTAATATGGTTGTCTTAATCTCATTTAATTTGGTTTCAGATAGGAAAACTAGGTTAGGGTTGGATTTTCTTATGGATTTACACAAAAATCTACCGTTTTAGGGTTATTACACCCTCTACTATTCCAAATTAGAAATTTTATGACATAAAAGTTTAATAGCCAATAAACACAAAGGAGAGCACTAGGGAAGAAAAAACGCAATGTAGTTGATTTTGGGGTTTTAGAACATACATGATGCTTAGAAGTTGGAGTGGGGACAGATATACAAGGTTGATTTTGGGTTTGGAAAGGCAGCACATTTCCTTCTATTTTGTTCCAATTTTGGTCCATCACTCTACTTCCTCCGTCCGACACTAAGTTTTTATTTTCCTGGATCTGATAGTCAAATGGGATCAACTCCATCTGACTGCTTTCTGCTCCCCTGATACCGGTGGTGTGCGAAATAATACCGTTTCCCTACTCTATGGTTTGCCCTAGCATCAAGTTGAGCAGGATTATTGATTTATTTCTGTCCTTGGCAAGACATTCCAAATACCCATCAACCATTGATAAAATCAATTTTAAATCCGAGTCATAAATAGTTTTACATGACCGGCTCAATTTCTTTAAGCCCAGCTCCGGGTCCACATACCCAAGCCCAGATTTGKTTAGATAACTTTTCCAGACCCTCGCCATCCATGTGTTTGCATACGGGCACCTTGATTTTTTCCCTATTGCATGTAGGACAGATGTGTAACCCCTGGTCCGGTTTTCTTCGTGGCCTCGCCATTTAGTATGCATTCAAAGTTTGCATATATCCACATGGATGCAATGTTCCAGGTTTTGCACTTGCCCGCCTCCGTGTTGTCTTTTCTTTGACCCGCAAGTTGACTCATCCAAGTTTTGTGCCACCTTTGAGTTTGGACAGTCTGACTGTTTACCTCCAATTTTCACTACCACCGGCGGTCGATCTTGAAGACATCAACACTTTTCCGACAAGCCCGCGTCCTTTGAATCTTCATCAGACCCATTATCATTTATATTGATAATGGGTAGCATGTAGGTTTCTTGATGTCCTTTGTATTGGGGAATTTTCAATGGTTTGTCGGGTTTAAATTCAGCTCGTAACCATTCACCAGGGTGATCTATTTCCCAATTATCCCATTTCCTTCTTAGCCACTTCGAGAGAGGTTTCAATACATTTACATCGATGCTAGTGGTGCCCCAAAAGTCCACAGTAGGTGCATACCTTTGTGAGGGATTCATAGGAGAATCTGATCCACTTTTGTTTGTTGTCAACTTTCACAAACATACCCGTGAACAAGGCTCTGTGGATGTCGATGATAATCTAGACTTTCGTGTATAGCCCTCGAATTAGCTGACCTTTTCGGATTTGTGGTTGATTCTGGACCACTTCCCTAGCCATCATATCAAGTACTTTAACTCCTGTGTCCTCCACAAGAGATCTTGGTATGAGGTGGAGCTGTAGCCAAATTTTCTAGTGATAAAGTTTTCCAATCGTTCCATCCTCCGAGTTGGTCCAAGGAGCAATCAGTATCCAGCTAGATCTAAAGAACCATGGCCCTCCATTCAATACTCTTTGTCGTTCATTGAAGTCTTCCATAAATATCTCTAACTGCCCCCTTCTATGAAATTAATATTGAACTCATGGCGAAGATTCCATATAGCCTTCACATGTTTCTCAATAGGTTCTTTGGAAGCTTGCATGTGAGGGAAGATTCTTCCCATTTACAGGTGTTTTAGTATGTCCTTTGCTTCATAGCACYTTTCCATCGGTATTTCCACATGCTTCCCTTTAACCACAACTTTCTCAGCAAGCATCTGAACCAATTGAATACTCATAGTGTTATCTTGGTTTTCACTAAACTTGCCTTTTCCTTTTTGGTTTGCCATTTTTCTCAGCTTCTCCGGACAAATTGACTTTCCTATCACACCAGCCCAGAGAACTATTCACCCATAGTGAGAATGTGATCCTTCATGAAACTAAATAGTGAGGAAACATGCTGCCCTGGCGGTTACACACACATAGTCGGGTTAGTCACAAATTGTCACAAAGAGAAAAAAACAATAATATTTAATAGCTAGAATTGGCTAAAGAGGTAACTAGACCTAGGTTCGAGAAATCAAGCACTTGGATGGGTCACCAACGAAGTAGAATTGGAGATTTAAAAAACTAAATTTTGTTAGATCCACATAAGAAAGGGCAAAATGAGATACAACAAACCGGATTCACATGGCAAAGTATGCCAGTTACAACCGTCACACAGTGTGTAGATTGAAATCCTCCGATGTCACACAAGTTTTATAGRTCATGCTTGAACCCTTATCATTTATATGCTAAATCATGATTTTCTACTATAAAATATGGAAGGAAAACAATGAAGTTTTATAATTTGATGAGATAAGAGATGTGATCAAATATAAATAATGGTATTTAGGTTGCGTTTGGAAACGATGCAAATGAAGTGTAAATCCCAGTTTAGGGTAAATTTGCACTTCGGTTCACTTTTGTCTGTGTTTGGCAACATTACATTTATGCATTGACAAATACAAAATACACATTTTCCAATGCATATTTACATTGATAATAAGATGTAAAAGCACATCAATAAAAAATAAGTAAATTTGCATTCAAGTGAGCTTTTGATAAAAATGCATATGCTTTATTGGAATTTGTGTTTACATCCATTATAGCTAAAAGTTTGTTTGGTAAGAAGGTAAATTTGTCAGTGCAAAACTAACCCAACTTTGCAATTTATATGGACCATTTTACACTCTACATATTTGCATTGCACACTTATTTGCATCGTTTTCCAAATGCAGCCTTAATGCGTTATTTACTTCAGGTAATGACTATAAAATGAACTTATGACAAGAACGAATTATTAGACTAATAAGTAAGATTTAGGATCAATTGCAAGACTAACAAATAAGGTAAACTTTTATTATAATGTTGAAGAAAATTAATAATTACAAGTTACAACTCTAAAATTGGATGGGCAAAACTACCTTTGAGCAACCAAATTAAAACACATCCATTTGTTTAGTGCTACTTGATAATTGAACTGGATGTGTTACTAAGAACTAATTGTAATGGTCCAATGATAAAATCACTCCTCAACAAGTGTGAGAACATGGGTTTGAATTTATGAGTGGTCAGAACTTTAAAATAGAGCCTAGAACTCCTCAAGTAAAAATATTGAGTACACCTCATCCAGTTATACATCAAGAATATATCTGTTGCATATATCCTAATTTGTGGTGGATGTCAGTGCTTTCAAAGTGTGTCTAGAGTTTTTGTTTGTAGGAGATTCTCTTGTCCAATAATAACATTTAGGAATGGTAATGGGTGGGGATTATATTCCTCGTCCTTGATCCCAATTTAGAAATAAATCCCTATCCTTGACCTTGATCTCTACTGGGGATAAAAAATGTCCTCAATCCTCGATCCCCGATGGAGGTGGATTTCTCGCAAAGACTTGAATCCCTTAAATCTTTTAATTAACACAATCTCTTGAAAAATAAATCTACTTAAAACAAAAAAGATTAAAATATAATAATATTTTAAATGTACTTTGATATATATGTATATATATAATATAAATAATATCACATGCATAATAATATATTTAGTATAAATAATATATATATATATATATATATATATATATATAATCAGGGTTGGGGCGGCCAAGGACTTCATTCCCTATCTCGACCTAATGGGGATGGAGAAAATTGCCATCCCTAATAATATTGGATAATTGTCAATATATTTAGAAGTTTATATATGAATAGGGGATAGGGCATGAGTTGGGTCAAACCAAGGCCCGAACCCAAATCCATCCCAAGCTTTGATTGGGTTGGATTTTAGGCCCAAACCCGAAGCAAAGTTACAAACAAGCCAACAAACCAAGTCAACAGCCCACGAACCTGTCTCGGTTGAACCAGAATTAGGTAAAATGAACGGCTTAGATTGGCCACGCGAGTGAACCAAAGTGCCCCAAAACCGTTGGATCAACAGTGAATAAAAGGGTAATGAGGTAAGCAAAATAGCTTTTTGGCACAATTTGGCAAAATGCGGAGTGGGGAGAGTGTCCCTTAAAATGACTCTTCTTATTCCTAGTCAATGTAGAGTCCAAAATTGTACCCCAAGACAAAAGAAATGAAACCACACAACCATGTCAGTTTATATAAACAAAATTTCCATTTATAAATAAAATTTAAATTATTAAAATAAAAGATTAAAAGGAGAGTAGGGAGCCCCCGCCGGTCTAGGCAATCTCGCCGGAGCCGAGGGGTGCGAACCTCTTAACCTTCACACCCCCCTCTCTCTCTCTCTCTCTCTCTCTCTCTCTCTCTCCTTTGTGTTTTTTTCTTGTAAGCGAGCGAGGCCCAAAAAGCCAAAGAGAGAGAGGAGGGTTCGCTCTCTTTCTCTCCGTTCCATCCAAACCCTAATATTCTCCTTCTCTACTCCGAATCTGTTCTTCGTCTTTTTCTGCAAATCTAGGGTTCTCGACCTTTCTGATAATCAAAATCGCATCTCTTTGGCTGGTTTCTTGCTCTAAAAGCCCTAACTTGGTCGCTGGTTACCTTTATTTTTGCTCGGGTGTTGTCATATTATGTTGAGAGGAGGGGATTGATACACTTTTCCATTCACAAAGTGTGCAGTCGAGCAGAGAAGAGGGGAGGACATGTATAGAGAACGAGGCGGCGGTGGATCGAAGTCGGAGATCGGGCCTATAGATCGTAAGCGGATCAATGATGCCCTAGACAAGGTTTTGGAGAAATCGTCACCTTCGACGTCTAAGGGTTTGAACGGCAAGGACAAGGATAGGTTATCTGTCCCGTCCACTTCCGCCGGCAAGGTACCGCCTGATCACAGGGACACTCGTTCTGCATCTCTTTCCAAGAACAAGTGCTCGGATGGTTAGTTTTCACTTCTTAGTTTCTTGATTTCTTTTGCTCTACATTTTTGTTGTTTTTCAGTTCAAGCTGGGGTATAATTGATAAATTTTCTGTTATTTTTTAACTATCAAGCTAACCAGTTTAGACACTAGCCCCTAGGGGATGTTCGTAATTTAAGCATCTGAAAGGTTCCTTCTTTTGGTTTGAGTTCTGGACTCTTATTTAGGTATATTTTGATTTTGGAAAATGCTACCGATATAATAATCTTGGTTCAGATAGGCTATACGGCATGTTTGGCATGGAAAGAGACCAATTCAAATTTATGTGATTAATTTTCAAGAATGAGCTACTCTACTAGAGCATATCTTGGATGCAGGTGTAGCTAATATACATAATTATTTAAGGCTCTTTCTGAATTGCAACAACACTTTAGCATGTTACGTAAAAGGAAATGTGGTTCCACCACTTTCTATATTTTACAATTTGGCAAGAAAACAGAACCTTGCTGAATCTAAGCAGGCTTTAGCTCTACGTTATGCCGTTCTAGTGGATTTTGGAATATATATTTGTATGGGTGGGGAGGGGGAGCATTTGAAACCTCTTGATTTTGCATGCACCATTTTTTTTTTTGTTTTTGTTTTCCACTCATGACCCAAATATGTGTATATGGCTCATTACTGTTTGACTGAGTTTCCACTTATGAGTGGGCACCGACTTAGACAAGAATTATGCAATACAGGAAATGTGGCTTAAAGTATTAATACTTGCTAATATCACATACATATTACTATTGGTTGAACTTGAGAGCTATAGGGATAGGAGGCCATCTAAATCTAATGCAGTATAGTATGGGTCACTATAACTATCTATGCGTGATATCTATAAATGCAGAAATTGAAGAGTAATGCTAGGTGGATCACCAGGTCCATTAGATAGATGAACATTTCCATCACAACAAACCAGAGGCCAATGCTGAGTTAGGGGCCTTTTCCACCACTTGCTTTATTGTATATTTATTAATTATTAGTAAAATAAAAATGAAAAATAATATTATATTTTATTTTATGTTTTTTTCAGCAGATACTGTTGTTTTGTACTTTTCTCTGCTACTCTTTGAGCAGGGGTTTTGCTACTTCTTAATGTACTCTCTTTGATCATGTTATTGATAAAAAAATATTTAAGTTGCGCTTTTCAACTCAAAAAATATTTATGTTAATAGACCACGTTTTGGTTAACATGTAGGAAGCTATTTTAATGCTTGTCCACTTGTAATGTTTGAAATGTAGGAATAGATGAACCTTTCATGACAAAGTGCTACTGCTCCTGCTAATACTGTTACATAAAAAGAAAAGAAAGATTCTTATGCTTTGGGAATGTACCCCAAAGAGATTTATAGCATCTGGCCTTTTGTTTAGGCAAAACTAAGATGAACTCAGAAGGAGATTTGAGAAAGCTGTGATGATTTGTTTTGCATTGTTGTTAGCACCTTTAACTTATGTACAGAATCAAACTTGTGCTAGTGGTTTTCCTGATATTTGTATTATTTTAATAGAATGCACTTCTACTTGAGAAAAGGATAAATAATGATACAAAATTAATCTTGTCCTGATAGAGTTCTTAAAGGTATTTTTCAGTTGTCCCCTCTTCTGGTAAGCTTGTAATGTGCGATTCCATCTTTCAGATGGTCAGGGGGAAGGTCCTATGTCATCATTTGTGATTTGAGGTTAACCTCAAAAAAGAATTCTTATTGTTTAACAAACTTCAGTTATGGATTTTTGGTGATTCTGTATGGATGGCTTCTATTGCATAATATGATTTCTGCTGAAAGATCAATTCCTACGAGTTGCTAACTTTAAGCACATAGGACATGTTAGCTTGCCGGGGAAGTGGTTTTTGGTTACTTTTCTGCTATATTTCTCCAGTTCTCTTTCAKTTGCTATAATTCACAAGATTCTCTCAATGTTGGTCATGTTCTTTTTGGTTTTATTTCGTTCACTTAAGGTTGTAACCATGGAGGTTCTAAGTTTTTTTCCCCTCCCTCTCTCTCTCTCTTATGTCTGTCCCATATGTTTTGATACTCACTACATATTGTTCATGGGGATATCACATTAGTTTGCTAGGTAGCAACTATGATTCTGGGTTATTATTTGCACCCATGTAATGTCATTACTGTCCTTGATTGTTAACAACGTTATTGCTTGCATTAATTGCAGAGGAATCTGAAACAGACAGTGAAGAGTCGGATGTTAGCGGTTCTGATGGTGATGACACATCTTGGATTTCATGGTTTTGCAATCTGCGTGGGAATGAATTTTTCTGCGAAGTTGATGATGAATACATCCAAGACGACTTCAACCTTTGTGGTTTAAGCAGTCAAGTTCCCTACTATGAATATGCACTTGATTTGATTTTGGACGTTGAATCCTCTCATGGTAAGCATTGTTCTTCCTGTTGGATGTATTGCTAAAACTTGATTTTGTGATTTTATACAATTGATGCAATTATCCAGTTACCAGTTATATATAAAGTTCAAATTCCCTACTAAGACTATTCTCTTGATTTGATTTGGATGTTCAATCCTTTCATGGTAGGCATTACTCTTTTTGTGTGAAAGGCAACAAGTTAATTGTTATTGACATGCCTGTGATATGGATTGATGCAATTGCATGGTTACTTGTGCAATGCCTGTTCATTTTACTCCCAGGCATATATATGCTTTTTGGGAAAGCTGTTGCATTCATATTAATTTTATTTTCTCATCTGGTGGATCATTATTAACGTGAAGAAACTCCAACAAGAGTCCCAGTGGACAGATGTAAAACCATGGAACTTTTCTTTTTCTGTATCTAAAGCTGTGTAGTTTGAATTATTTTAGAGAAATTGATAGGGCACATAAATGCTAGGATTCAATGCTCTAAACATCTTCTGTTTCCTTATTTATGGATTATGGTATTGAAATTGGGGTTTATTTATCCACTTTTTGGATATCATACATGTCAAGTTCTAGAAGTGGTGGTGATGGCATCCTTTTGGATCTAAAAGATCATGTTAAAGGATGGGATAAAGGGAGCATAGATAATAGTTTGGTAATGCTATTGGTTGTGGTTGAAAGGATTATATTAAGAAACATTTTCCATTCCCATGTTTTKTTTAACATATGGAATATGGGTACATCTTCCATCAAATATGTCCATCCAGCTGAATTTGTGCCATTTGTATATGAGTGGTCAAGATTATTACTGTAGTTAATTGGCCAGATTCCAGGAATATTAGCAATAATCCTAAGCTTCATAATCAAGTTCATGCATGGTTTTTCTGATAAGAAACAATGACTTTCATTTATTAGATTAATAAAGAGTACAACTGTCACCACCCAAAGAATAGATGGAGAACCCTTAAAAATAAACAGTCTTACAAGCAAGACCAAAACAAAGCCTCCCTATTGATTCTTGGCTTAGCTAAATTGTCAACCATTCCATTTGCTGATCTTCTAGTCCATCTAAACTGCACCCCAAGTTCCCTTGCTAAGAACATAAGTTCTCTTAGAGGTTGTTTTTTTATCAGTCTCTTAGAGGTTGTTTGAAGGACCACATTCCCAAGCTTTGTGTTTGCAGCCATCCTGTTACCAACTTGGAGTCTAGCTGTTGCAATCCCACATTGTTATGCCAGTTTGAGACCTTGGAATAGCCAAGTAGGGCCTTCACTTCTGCCTTCAAAGAATCTCCCACCCAATTGGGCCCAACACGCCTTTTCTCTTGCTTCCTCATTGAAGCACCCCCAATTCTTGAAGGACCTGGGTTATCCACAGAGCTTCCATCAAAGTTCAATTTCACCAAAAAATGTAGAGGCGGCGATCAACTCTCTTGAACCATGGGAGATGAGGAAGAGGAACCAACTATAACACTCCAACCTTAATTAAGTCAACAGAAGAGAAGTCCTTGAAAAGGTCCAAAGATTTCAGCCAATGTATGATCTTGATGGTAATGCTTTCAAACAAGTTCTTCCTTGGATTTTTCTTGCCCTAGGAAGATCATGTTATTTCTTTCTTCTCAAACCATTACCAATCATAGGATAACTGCTCTTTTAGTTCAACACATGGCTTTTTTCTTTTTTCTATTTTTTGATCAATAACAGAACTTTATTAATTACGTGAAGATTTGTGAAGCTTTAGATACGAAAGGGGGAGATAAAATGTCTTAGCTCCCCCTTCAACAAAATACAATGAAAGGAAATTAAAAAGATAGACTCCCTATTCACCCCATGCTTGGCCAACCCATATGCAAATGAGTTACCAGTCCTCTTCACCTAGCTGATTGTATCTCACTGTCCCTACACAGCCATAAGATATTTTTCTTTCCATTGTTATAGCTCCACAAACCACTGTCCTCTTTCTTCAACTGACTAATCACCACCTTTGAATCACCTTCCAGGATCAAACGACTGATATTTAGTTCCCTTGCTCTTTGAATTCCTTCCAGAGCTGCAAGGATCTCAGCCCTAAGAGAGTCTCCTTCTCCAATAGGGCCTGAGAACAAAGCAATAACAATCCCTTCCTCATTCTTGAATACTCCCCTCTTGGTCCCTTCTCCAATAGGGCCTTGGATTCCTTAAACTACTGCCATCAAAATTCAATTTTATAAATCCAGAAGGAGGGGACCAAGAGGGACTAAGAGTCCTCTTACACTGAGCAGAGGTAGATATTTCTTTCCAGTTTCTTAACAAATCAGCCATAGGAAAGTCTGAAAACAATTCCATAGATTTTACCCAGTGGGCAGCCCTTAAAAGTATTAGGTCTAATAGGTCTTCCAAAGTTCTTTCCTTATCTGAAAAAATTCGTGAATTTCTTTCTTCCCACAGGGACCAACACACGGCTGCCTTAATACTCCTCCACACAATCTTCCCTCGCTTCTTAGGCCATCTGAAAAACGAAGGAGAGAACAAACTCTGGACACTCTCGGGAGGATTCCAAGAACACTCAAAGTGGGAAAGTGCCCACTCCCATACAATTTTAGTAACCTTACAAGAGACCATAAGATGGTAGCTGGATTCCCCATCAACTTTACAAAGAGAACATCTATTAGGAAGTAAACAGTAATTGGGTCTCTTTTTCTGAAGTAAATCATTTGTGTTTATTCTTTCCAGGAAAATTTCCCAACAAAAAATACCAACYCGAGGAGTACTGAGCTTGCTCCAAATTTCCTTAACTGGAAAGGACAACCCAAGAGGAACAGAAGACTGAGTTAAGGTTTCAAAAAATGAAGCACAAGAGAAGGTACCTAAGGTGGAAGGGGTCAAAAATCTGGTGTCTTATTAGGATCTAGGAAAACATTCTCAAGGATGGCTATCAAAGGTAAAATGCTGTCCAATTTTGTATCCCTAATTGCCCTTTGCAGGCCAATTTTCCACCCAAAACCAGAAGTGGAGTCTGAAGGACCTAAGAAAGAAGAGATAGGTTCATTTTTCAAGTTTAACAGAGCATACAAGGAGGGAAACTGGTCCTTCAGAGGTGAAACCCCTACCCAAAGTTGTTCCTCAGAATTTTATTCGATTACTAGAGCTAAGACCGTATTTGATCCAAGGGGAGAAAGTGGAAGTAGATCGTGAATGGATTTCCAAGGAGAAGCAGCGGTAGCCCTTGCCACAATTCCAGGATCCCAGCCATTGTCTTCTAGCCCATGTATGCTAGCCACGATCTTTGTCCATAATATTTCTCTTTCCAGTGTAAAGCTCCACAACCATTTTCCCAGCAAATCCATATTCCTTTTCTTGATGTTTCCAATCCCAAGGCCTCCTAGTTTTTACATCTAATTACCACCTCCCAACCCACCTTATGGTCTCTCTTCTCTCTAGTCTCCCATAAAAAAATCCTCATTAATTTTTCCAATAAGTTGAAACCTTTGTGGGGATCTCAAACACTGACAGATAGTAAACATGTAGGTTAGCTGGGGTAGACCTAATCAAAGTGACTCTCCCCCCTAAGGAAAGATAATTTCTCTTTCAGGACACAAGCCTCTTCTCAAATCTCTCCACTACCGGATTCCAGAAGCTTACATTCTTAGGATTATCTCCTAAAGGAAGGCCCAAGTACGTCAAAGGCCAATCCGAGATTGCACAACCTAACACACCTGCATATTCCCTTAACTCCCTCTCCTCCACATTGACTCCCACCACACAACTCTTATCAAAGTTCACCTTGAGGTTAGACATCTGCTCAAAGAGTTGTATTGCCAATTTTAAAATTTGGATCCAATTTATGTCCCCACCTTCACAAAACAAAATTGTATCATCTGCAAATTGTAGATGTGTCAGTGGTACCTCCTCCCTTCCTACTCGCCACCCTTTTATCAATTTCCTCGAATCTGCTCTATGGATCAATCTCCCAAGTACATCAGCAATCAGGGTAAATAGAAAGAGGGAGAGTGGGTCTCCTTGTTTTATACCTCTCAAAGTAGAAAAGAAGTCAACCACAGTTCCATTCACCAAGATAGAATAGTGACAAGTCCTAATACAACCCCATATCCATTTACACCACCTTTCTCTGAAGCCAAAGCTTCTCAACACCTTCAATAAGAAAGACCAATCAACTAGGTCATAAGCCTTCTCCAAATCCAATTTGCATACCACTCCCTTCTTCTTAGATTTCCTAATGCTCTCCAAATTCTCATTTGCAATGAGGATTTGATCAGTTATTTGTCTTCCCTCCACAAAAGCTCCTTGGTTGGGTGCAATAATAGTGGGAAGGACCTTCTTTATCCTGAGAGACAACACTTTTGCAATTATTTTATACAAGCTATTCACCAAACTGATAGGTGTAAAATCCTTTGGTTGTGATGGTTCTTTCTTCTTTGGGACCAAAGCAATGAAAGTTGAGTTCAAATCCGGATTAATTATTCCCCTTCTGTGAAACTCCTCGAAGATTGACCTAAGATCCTTCTCCACGATATCTCAACAATCCTGATAAAATGCCATTGTGAAGCCATCTGGGCCTGGAGCTTGTCTTATCCATTGAGAATATTGCTTCCTTTATCTCCTCCAGATCAAAACTCTTTTCTAACCACACTCTGTTCTCTGCACTTAGAGTCGGCCATTTCAATACCTCCAATCACACCTCTCATTCAAAAGCCTTATAAATATAGATTTGATATGATTTTCTAAGGCCTCTGCTATTCCTACTGGGTGGGACAAAATTGCTCCTACTTCCAATTTTGATATGAAATTCTTTTTTCTCCTCCCATTTGCCATTGAATGGAAAAATCTAGTGTTTCTATCTCCCTCCTTTAGCCACTTACACTTGGATTTTTGCCTTCAACTTATTTCCTCCTTAAACCAGAATATCCTCCATCCGCCTTCTCAGGTCCCATCTCATATTCCTGTCTTCTTCTCCAAAGGATCCTCTTTCTTCCTTCATATCCAATTCCTTAATCTGCTCCAG